GTATAGCCTAACACTGACTCTTACCCTAAGGTTTAGGGTAAGATTAGGCAAGGTCAGGTTTAGGGCCTAAACCCTAACACAAAAATTGTGTTCCACTATATTAGGACTGGGTTTTGGTTCGCAAAAGAACCGCTGGTCCTGACAAGGTAAATGTTCACACAGGGTCCTAACAGAAACACACACAAACAGGGGCAAAACATTGTCCCYCTTTTCTCTTTGGTGGCGAGTGATAAAGATGTGGTGTTGAGTTTACTTAATCAAATCATTTTTTTTATTTGAGCATAATTTACAGTTTTTCTTCAACACCTTCAGTGCGTTGATCCTCCACTGGTCCATTCATTGTGTTTCTATTTGAAAAAAAAAAATAGAACACAGTTAATATGTGATAAAAATATTAATTTTTAAAAATGAGTTGTAGAGATAAGATTACATGATCTCAGCGTGGTCCTGAAGTTCAGTGTTGAGCGTTTCAGGCAGCAGTAAACAGAAACCACCAGCAGCCATTGGGATGATGCCGTAAATCACCATGGGAACAGTGTGATGGTAAACATCCAGGAGWCGRATCAGTGGGGCCAGGATGCCCGCCACGCGAGCGCTCATGGAGTTCAGACCCATACCGCTGTGTCTGCAGGTACGACTGTGTTATTTGTTATTTTTAGAAGCAGATAAACCGTAATCTGTGTATGATTACCTGATATCAGTTGGGTATAACTCAGCTGTGTAAACGTAGGCGGTACTGAAAGCAGCCGTGGCAGAGAATTTTCCCAGCATCGCTACGACCGTTACCACCGCAGGAAGATCTGATAAAAATGTACAAGAAAGACAAACATTATCTTTCTAAATTATCACTAAATTAAAACATGAACAAAGTTTTGAAGATACCTTTCGGAACGGCGAGTGTCAGCAGACAAGAGACGCCACCGAAGAACAGGAAACACGYCTCACAGATTCTCCTCCCAAAGTGTTGGATCGTAGGCCACGCCCCCAAGTTGGCAGGGATTTCAACAAACCCAAAGATGAGCTGCGTGATGTAAATATCCAGGCCGAAACTCCCAATATTTAGGCTCAGCCCATAAAACAAAGTACTTGCTGCAAACCTGGAAACAGACAAAACCTTTAATTTTACTATTACACAAACACAATGAGGAAAAAATATCTCATCTTAAARTTAGAGTTCAGATAGTTTGAAGTTGGGTTCTGTAAAAAAGTTATAAAAAATCTTACAGTTTTTAGATAGCTTGAATGACAGCTCAGAGAACAGAGTTAAATTTTGACTAAATTGACAGCCTAACAGCTGGTCAACCGTCCGTCTGTTTTTCTTTCTCTTATCCGGGATCAGGTCTCGGGGGCAGCAGCCTGAGCAGAGRGACCCAGACTTCCCTCTCCCCAGCCACTTGGGCCAGTTCATCTGGGGGAATCCCAAGGTGTTCCCAGGCCAGCTGAGAAACATAATCCCTTCAGCGTGTCCTGGGACTTCCTCTGGGCCTCCTCCCAGTGGGATGTGCCCGGAACACCTCACCARGGAGGTGTCCAGGAGGCATCCTAACCAGATGCCCGATCCACCTCAACTGGCTCCTCTTGACGTGGAGGAGCAGCGGCTCTACTCTGAGTCCCTTCAGGATGACTGAGCTTCTCACCCTATCTCTGAGGGAGAGCCCAGACACCCTGAGGAGGAAACTCATTTTGGCCGCTTGTATCTGCGATCTCCTTCTTTCGGTCACTACCCAAAACTCTGACCATAGATGAGGGTAGGAACGTAGACCGACCGGTAAAGTGAGAGCTTCGCCTTCTGGCTCATCTCCTGCGTCACCACTACAGACAAGTACTGCACCCGCATCACTGCAGATGCAGCACCAATCTCCATTCTTCCCTCATTCATGAACAAGACCCCAAGTTACTTAAACTCTTGGGGCAGGACCTCCTCCCCGACCCAGAGAAGGCACCCTACCCTTTCCCGGCTGAAGACCATGGTCTCGGATTTGGAGGCACTGATCCTCATCCCGGCCGCTTCACACTCAGCTGCAAACTGCTCCAGTGAGAGCTGGAGATCACGATCCGATGAAGTCAAAGGACAACATCTTCCGCAAAAAGCAGAGATGTGATCCTAAGGTCACCAAAACGGATCCCCTCAACGCCTTGGCTGCGCCTAGAAATTCTGTCCATAAAAGTTATGAACAGAATTGGTGACAAAGGGCAACCTTGGTGGAGTCCAACTCTCACCGGAAACAAATCCAACTCACTACCGGCAATGCAGACCAAGCTCTGGTACCGGTCGTACAGGGACCTAACAGCCCATAACGGGCCTGGTACCCCATACTCCTGGAGTACCCCCCAAAAGAGTCCCCAAGGGACATGGTCGAACACATTCTTCAAGTCCACAAAACACATCTGGTCAACCAACATTTTCAAAGCTAGGTTTGTTTAACATAACTGGACTATTACTTGAGGGAACTCACCAGTTAAARGCCATAATTGCAGTGCGTTTTCTCAAATACGGTATTCTGAAGATGTCCAACATGTTCTTTTTRTCCTGATTACTCTCTAAATTGACCTATAAAAAAGAAATGTTGGGAATGTTCATAGGATTTTAGAATGTAAGTTTGGAAGGGTCAAAGTGAGGTTTGGATGACGACCTTATCCAGAAGACCTTCTGGTAAACTCCTCTTGTTGACTCTGGCTGCCCACTCCAGCTGCTTTTGTGCCTCCTTCTTCCTGCCCTGCGTCACGAGCCATCGAGCCGACTCTGGGAGAAACCTGATGAGACAGGAAGAAGTTTAGGTTTAAACCTCAATCTTCACTATTGGGTTTTTTTTGTTTACTGGTGAAGAATAAAACCAATGCTGACCAGTACATGGTCACTAGGACAAGAACAACAGGGGAGAAGAGCACCAGCCGCTGAATCCTCCAGTTTGTGATCAAGTAGGCGATACCAGACAACAGCATCTGTCCGACAGATAACATATTCATGATGACCACTGTGCAAAAAGCAGACTTCGAAGGATCAATCCATTCCACCACTGGAAAAAAGACCAAGAGCGGAGACAAAATGTTTATATGATACAATGTCCTGAGYATAAACATGCAGTCTATGGTTTTTCAGGTGTAAAAACACAATATTACCAACATTCATACGTATAAAAATGTGGACCCACCCATTATGGATGCGTTCATAACAATTACACCACTTGAGAATCCACTAAAAAACTTCAGGACCATATAAACGTAGATATTTGGTGAGAAAGCTGTGGCCACGCCAAACAACATGGTGAGGAAAAGTGACAAGAGCAAAGCAAATCTTCTGCCAAACCTAGAAAAAGAGCAGCAGAAAGTTGATCAAAATGTTGACTCTCAGTTTCTATTATCTACTATTTTGAAAAATGAGCTCTATGTTAAAAGTTTTTTTCCCTAAAGGCACGATGGAGACATAAATGAAACGTCTCACCTRTCAGAAATGGACCCAAACACTAAGGCTCCAAACAGAACCCCTGCCATGAAGACAGACTGGGACACCTCAGTCAAACCCATCTTATCACAAACGAGGTCAAACTGTAAAACAAGAACAATGATTACAGTAGAAACATGTGCAGTACTGTGCAAGCATTTCAACTTCGCCCCTTGTGCCTGTTATGGCTGCAGTACCCAGGCACCTGTTCTCCCATGTTTGTTTTTTGTATTTGTCTCTCTCTTGGATTAGTTGTTCTGAACTGTATTTCGTTGTGCTTAATGGTACAATGACAAATAAAGTAATCAGAATATTTTGTTCCCAAACCACTAGATTTTGGTGTAACTTTTGGTAAGACTTTCTAGAAGTCAGAGGCTACACAGGTGAAGCTTAGACACCATGACATGGACTTGGTGGGAATTGAACCTATGACTTTTTGGTTCTAAAACAACTGTCCTACCACTACACTACACCTGCCCATACCTTATAACATGATATAAAGCTCAACAATGTTGATTTTCCATAATACCCCCTCTTTAGAACAGCAAAAATAATAAGCTAAAGACAAAATATCCAAAGTCAGTCCTCTAGGGCTGGTGTCCTACATGTTTTTGGGGCTGCCTTGGTTCAACACAGCTGAACCTAAGGAGTGCTTAATTAGAAGGCTTCCTCAGTGTGCCATCAAGGTCTGCAGATGCCTACTAATCAAGCGCACCTTAGGTTCAGCCGTGTTGAACCAGGGCTGCTCCAAAAACCAGGACACCGGCCCTTGAGGACTGACTGGACACCACTGGTCTAACCTCTATTGAATAGTAGGTCTTTGTTTATTGTTTACCTCTGTCACAATGCTGGAAGCCCCTGGTTGGACCTCRTACTTCCATCCATCTCTGCATCCTGTTGTGCTGTTAAGGCCGTACCTTTCAATCGTTTCCAAATCCAGATCTACAGGCGTGAACATTTCACAGCTTTCGAACCTTCCGTCCTGGTCCACTGGGATGGTGAGGTTCTTCTGTTTCTCCTCTGTCAGGTTTGGTCCTGGCACCAGGATCCAGTCAGTGTTGCAGTGGTGTGGAAAGCTCATGCCTGTGAACACCTGGCCTATCACATCGCAGGCTGAGAACATGCCGGGGATGCATACTGCGGCGAGCAAGYGCTTCTGAAACGAACCAAACCCCCCAACCTCCTTCAGGACCTGTCCGAAGCTGCTCATGCTGACATATGGCTCATCTTATGAAGGCTTCTTATGGGCAAACAGAGGGAGAGGCAACTTAAATAATATTTAACACAGATCAGTTAAGATAGTYATAACTATTGCCCTAATCTCTTACATACCAACAACAATAAAAATACAAAGCCAATAAAAGGAGCAGAGCACAGATATTAAAGTAGCTCCACAATAAATGGTGAACCACAGCTAAACCAGGGGTGTAGCTGGAGCTGGGTCTGACAGGGTCTAGGCCTGCCATAAAATTCAAAATTATTATTTTATTTTCAAAAAAATGGTAGAATTTCTTAGTTTCTGCATTTCTGTAAGTAAAATACTAGTTTAAGAGGTTTGCAAATCATCACATTCTGTTTTTATTTACATTTTCAAATGATAAATGATTAATAACTCAGTGATCCCTTTGCTCCCCTACAGCATGCGATAAGACCTGACACAGCAATAAAAGCTGCTGCTGAGCATGCTCAGGTGTTCTGACCCACTGAACTACAGGGACCGAACATCAGAACACCTGTCCCTTTAATTCAGTGGGATGTAAAAAACGCTGAAACACAAAAATACATGCTAATCATGTTATGTGAACCATGTTTTAAAAATCATGCTAAACAGGAATGATTAACGAGAGTCTGTATCACCTAAAGGTTAATCATTTCTGGCTGCTACTCTTAWAAATATATCTTACACCTGTAGTCCTAATGATCCTGCAATCAAATGTACATTAAATATTAAGTTTCTTTAAAATTTACGTTTTTATTACAAATTGTTTAGCTTGGATGAGGGGATGTTTTGCTAACAGAGTGACTCCACTGGCAACATTTGAATCAAAGATCTTGTGTGATCAGTTAGCTTCTGTGAATGACTCACAACTACTGCCACACTATATCTTAGCTCAGTATCTGTAAAACTGAATGAGGTTTGGCTATTTTATATGCTTGCTAATATTAATTAGCTTTAGCAGCCATGTTGAATCAGGTTGACATGTAGCAGACGGCCTTATTAGTTGGACCACTGTTCATCAGTGTGCCTGAGCTCGTCTGTCTCTGCTTATAAAAACGTGTCATAACTGTTTATCTGTTACTGTTACTCTAACGTTTTACTGTAGTCTCGCACTTTGAGCGGTACATTAACGATATCTTGAAAGGATTCAAGCTACTCCATAAAAACACCCATTTGGCAAACCCACAAATGATAACATTGTTTTATAATTCTCGTTTAGATAAAAATAAAAGGTGTCACATTTATGGCAATGTGTCCTTAAGTGATCAGTTAATGTGGAAATGTTATTTAATTTACTTATTGGTGGATATTTCCTGGGTGGATACATTTATCAGTCACAGTGAGGTTTTTAAAACTCCATGAATTAAGGATTGTCATGAATCTGGTGAAATACTTTTCTAGGCAATGAATGTGGCACATCAAGCTGTTAGAGTTATCAGTAACAAAGACAGCGTACAGCTGAGGAAMTGGCTGAAGCTAGAAACAAGCAGCATTTGTAAGCTGAAACATCTGCATTTGGTCAATGCAAAATAATATATTTTAAATTTATTTTCCTCAAGGTAGTTGTTTGAACAATTTTTCAGAACTACTGTACAAGAAGTTGGCAGTTTTTCATTTTTCGCATTGTGGTGTCTGAGAGAATGTCTTTAATTTTGCTTTATTGTGGGCTTGCGATCTAACCAGGGTGTAATCTGCTTCTCACATGTTTACTGCTGGAGACTGATGCTAGCTTTCTTAACTCTAACCCTAACCCGAAACCCAGAAAGGAAGAGGCGGYTAAAGAGAGTGGATGGATGGTTGGATATTTTCCTCATGAGCACCTAAGAAAGTCAAAGAAGATGTGCAAAACCCGAAACCATACAAGCATATAATCTCTTTATTGGCCAGTGTACATTAYAACATTAATGGCAGTGGCAGCGAATTTACAAATTGCAACAACAAATATTAATACATGACACATAATGAGGCTGATAAATATTATATGTATAAGAAATGGCCATAAAATGAGAAAAACAAAGTGATAATGAAAAATGCAGTAGCAGTCAAAATCACAACTTTGTGATCTTTTCTGCTTTGCATTTCTGAATGAAGGATCCATTGATGGGTTTTCTGAAAGTATAAACAAAACAATTTGGATATAAGTTTCCACCGATTATCACAAGCTTCCTGTTGTGAGATCATTTAAGCACTTACATGATCTCAGTGTGGTCCTGAAGTTCAGTATGGAGAGTTTCAGGCAGCAGAACACAGAGACCCCCAGCCACAATGGGGACGATGCCGTATATCAGCATTGGGATGGTGTGATGGTAGACTACCAGGAGCCGGATCAGAGGAGCCAGGATTCCCGCCACGCGAGCGCACATGGAGTTCAGACCTACACCATTCTGTCTGACAACAGAAAGGAACACCTTTAACACCTTTAACATAAACTGATGCAAAGGTTTGTCTTTGGGACATTAAGGTCTTACCTCAGGATGGTGGGGTATAATTCTGCAGTGTAAACATAAACTGTGGAAAAACTGGCCGTGGCAGCAAATTTACCCAGAACAGCTATGACGGTTACAACAACGGGAAGATCTGATGGGCAAACACAATGTGTTTTTTATAATATTATCAAAACACTACTTTTTTTGACTTTTTATTTAACATTAAATTACCTTTCGGTACAGCAAGAATCCCAAGACAGGCTAAACCTCCAAACAGCAGCACTCCTGTTTGGCAGAACTTTCTCCCAAAGTGCTGAAGGATAGGCAAAGAGCCCAGACGTGCGGGGAACTCTACAATGGCAAAGATGAACTGCGTGAGGTAAATATCCAAACCAAAGTTGCCAACGTTCAGGCTGAGTCCGTAGTACATCAGACTTGTTGCAAACCTGTTAAAAAATGAGAGTGGAAGTCACTTAACACAGTGGTTCAGATCTTTCCAAGCTGGGTTCTGTGGAAAACATGAATAATTAATACCTTATCTGCTGATAGCTTTTTGAACAGCATTTGAGGAAGATGAAATGTAATTCTGACTGGATTAACCATTTTCTCTAATGAGCTGAAATGTTGAGTGCTGAAGGGAAGAGGGACGTCTGGGTTTTCCTTCCTGGACCTGTTCACTAGCAACGACCACACCATGGTAAGAGTTTAAAAATTTTATTGAAGGAAAGGGGTTGAAGGGTAGTGGGATGAATGATGAGGCGTCTGGGGAGGTACGTCGAAGGAGGCTTGAGGAGAAGACTCAGAGTGGGGCATAGTCTCCAGGAAGGATGCTTTCCTGAGCCTGCATAGTCCCTCCAGCGTGTCCTGGGTCTTCCTCGGGGCCTCCTCCCAGTGGGACGTGCCCGGAACACCTCACCAG